ATCGCGGTTCAAAGCCAGCCCAGGCAGGAAAGACCGTGAGACTCCTATCTCCAATAAACCACCAGAAAACCGGAAGTGGAGTTGTAGCTCAAGTGGTAGAGCACTGGCCTTGAGCTGAAGAGCTGAGGGACAGTGCCCAGGCCCAGAGTTCAAGCCCCATGACCGACAAAAAAAAAAAAATCTCACAGACTTTCCTGCCCAGCAGGCTTTGAACCAAGATCCTCAGATCTCAGAGTCCTGAGTAGCTAGGATGACAGGCTTGAGCCACCAGCACCCCGCTCCCTAAGATTCTTTTGCTCAAGGCTAGCGCTCCACCACTTGAGCCACAGCACCACTTCTGCCTTCTTGGTTGTGATTTGGAGATAAGAGTCACTGACTCTTCAGTCCAGACTGGCTTCAAACCATGATCTTCAGATCTCAGCCTCCTGAGATTACAGCCTCCTAGGATTACAGGTGCCAGTCACCAGTGCCCAGTTCGCACTTCTTAAAATAATTTCAACATATTTCATTGTTCTATATTCATGCATGTAACTATACCATGTGGAATGTGTTTATCCTCATTCACTCTCTTTCTTTCTTTTTGCCAATCCTTGAACTCAGAGCTTGAACTCAGGGCCTGGGCATTGTCCCTGAGCCTTTCTTTTTTTTTTTTTGGATTAGCTTAATTTATTCTCTCTCAATAGGTATTTGTTTTCAAAAGTATTTAAGATCTTTAGGCTGTTGTTTTAAGTAGAATACAGTGATTATAGCTGTTTTAGGTTAGCTTTAAGGATTTGAATATCTGTCAGTTCCTCTGGATTCCATTAGGATGAATCTTTTGGCATGTTAGAATTGAAGACAGAGAGAAGGGTATTGATTTCTCTTCTTTTTTTTTGGTCGGTCATGGGGCTTGAACTCGGGGCCTGGGCGCTGTCCCTCAGCTCTTCAGCTCAAGGCGAGCGCTCTACCACTTGAGCTACAGTGCCACCTCCGGTTTTCTGGTGGTTTATTGGAGATAGGAGTCTCACGGTCTTTCCTGCCCAGGCTGGCTTTGAACTGCAGTCCTCAGATCTCAGCCTCCTGAGTAGCTAGGATTACAGGCGTGAGCCACCAGCACCTGGCTCTCTTCTTATATTATCTTGATTCGGTACATGAAATTAAAACAGAACACTCCAGAAGGTAACAATTATGTGTCTACAAACATTTCTGGCTTACTTGTCAGATGATAGGCATGATCATCATTTTTGGCTGCTTCTTTTCTTCTCGTCCCTGAGCCTTTCTATGCTCAAGGCTAGTGGTCTACCACTTGAGCCACAGCAGCCACTTACAGCTTTTTCTGCTTACGTGGTACTGAGGAATCGAACACAGAGCTTCATGCATGCCGGGCAAGCACTCTACCAGTGAGCCACATTTCCAGCCCTCATTCACTCTGTCAGTTGTCCTTCCCCTCCTCCTTCCCCCATACCTGTTTCACCCTCCTGTCCTTCATTACAAGGGATTTTGATTGGTGGGTATAAATGAGACAGAAGCCCAATCTGTGGGTCAGATTATGGCTGAAAGTATCACTGTGGCCTATTGGTGCGGTCCAGGCCTGCCTGGGTCAGTAAATCAAGTAGACCATCTCCAACCTTCCCACAGGGAAGTGGTCACGGCATAGGCGGGCATAAACTGGGTGGGAAGTCTGAACCAGAAGCCATGTCTTTGGGCCTCATACCAATGGTATCAAGACACCTAAAATTAAAACAAGCAAACAAACAAACAGACTATTGAAGAGAGAAAAGCCAAGGCCAGGGCTCAGGACTTGCCTCTGTGTGTGTGTGTGTGTGTGTGTGTGTGTGTGTGTGTGTGTGTGTACTAGTACTAGGGCTTGAACTAGGGCCTGGGCACTGGCCCTGAGCTTTTTCAAAACTCTTAAGGTTGGTGCTCTACCACATGAGCCATACCTCTATTTCCAGCTTTTTGCTGGCTAGAGGCAAGAGTCGCACAAGCTTTCCTATTCGGGCTGGCTTCGAGCTAGGATCCTCAGCCCTCAGCCTCTGAGTAGCTAGGATTCCAAGTGTGAGCCACCCTCCAGCCTTGGCTACTGTTAGAGCGCCAGGAGAGGAGCTTCAGGCTTCCTGGAGGTGGGGAGGAAAGGCTCCCATGCCGTCTGCGGCTGGAAAGTTAAGCAGAGAGAGAGAAGTGGGACCCAGCGGAGGCTCTGAAAATTTGGGGACTTTCTCTGCAACTTCATGAGCAATACGGAAGTGGAAAGAAGGAAAGGAGAGAGCTGATGGCACACTGTTCTACAAACAGAGAAGTAGGGCAGTGGCAGGGAGCAGCGTGGGTCAGGAGAAGAAGGGACACCACAGGGACACCACAGCTTGTGCCCGCTGGCGGGGGAGGAGGGCCATCTCAAGGGATCAAGGGGTTTCACCACCTCCCACAGCCTCCTCCATGAGCCAGCTTTCTCCCCCGCCCCCAACCACACTGTGTGAGGCCCATGTCTGGAAAGCCCAAGTATCTTCCCCAGAAGTTAAACTTCAAGAGGCCACCACCAGGTGCCGGTGGCTCATGCCTGGAATCCCAGCTCCTCAGGAGGCTGAGAGCTGAGAATTGCGGTTCAAAGCTAGCCCAGGGGCTGGGAAGGTGGCTCAGTAGTAGAGTGCTTGCCTTGCATGCCTGAGGCCCTGGGTTTGATTCCTCAGCACCACATAAGCAAAGAGAAAAAAAAAGCTGGAAGTGGCGCTGTGGCTCAAGTGATAGAGTGCTAGCCTTGAGCTCAAGAGCTGAGGGACAGCGCACAGGCCTAGAGTTCAGGCCCCACAACTGCCCCCCCCAAAAAATCAAGCCCCAATATAGGCAAAAAAGAAAAAAAGGAAAAAAAAAGAATGTGGGTTCCTGAGTTCAACCTTTAATACCAGCACAAAAAAAAGGAAAAAGAAGAAAAAGCCACAGTGGACATCATCCCTGTTTTCCTGGAGTCTGGCACTGGGAGGAGCTGCCTGGGCCATTTCAAAGGCTCAGCTACACATTTGTTGTCTGAATGAATCTGATCGGGTACAGAAATGAAGACGCAGGAGCGAGAGGGAAGGGCAAAAGGAGCAAAGTCTTAAGGCAGTGCTGGCCCAGCACAGCGGGCCGGTGCAGCCTCCCTGATGGCCTGTCCTGGTGCTGGTCTCCACCAAGAGGGGTGGTGTGTGTGTGTGTGTGTGTGTGTGAGCTTACTGAAGCTGACTAACATCAGCTTATCGGGAGGAAAGGTTCATTTTGGCTGTCACTGTGGTCGCTTAGTCTTGTTGTCTTCAGGCCAGAGTGGAGGCAGCACAGGAGAGCAGGACAGAGGAGACTGCCCACCACGACAGCCGGGTGGCACAGCTGGCTGCAGAGCCCAGGGAAGGGACTGAGCCAGTCTCCCCCCCAAAGCCATGCCTCCAATGACCTAACTTCCTCCCTCTGGGCCCCATTTCCAAATGTACTGCCCAGAGAGAGCCATCCAGGGCCGGTCACTCCACATCAACATCAACTCCAGCAACCCAACCAACGCTCCCTCCTTCCAGACGGTACTGCTGCGCCAGACACCGCTCAGGAGGGTCCCAGCTTGGGGATTCTCAAGTGCAGGACAGGGTTGGGGGTGCTCCACCCTGGGGACCATCCAAGAGTCAGGCCCAGATCCCAGTGGGAGGAACTGCAGGCCTCCCCAAAGTAAACACTGCTTGATATCCTGCCCCAGCAGGCAGCGAGCGGGCCTGCCAGTCACAGCCCACACCGGCCACATCCCCAGCGGATCTGCAGCGGCCCTCCCCTGCCACGCACTGTGGGCACCTCAGGATGAGCCAGTATCTGCCCGGTGTGGCGCAGCGCCCTCTCCTTGCAGCCAGCATCCGGGGTTTTCTTACTGGTGCCTTCTTTGTCCTGGGCTGCTGGGGGTTCCCTGATTTCCAGCAGGTAGGCCCGGGGCAGGCACTGTGTTGGGGTCACCTCTCAAGAGTGCTGCCTTACAGTCCTGGGGTACAGAGAGCACATTCTCTCTTTCTTCTGACCCAAGAGGACATTGGCTTCTTCTTGAAGATGCTCAGTGCTTGTTTATCCCAGACCTGTGAGAGTTTCTCTTCTCTGTCGACCCCCCTCACTGCCCTTTCTCTTGCTTTTCCTCTCCTGGCTCAGTTTTTTTTACACTCTCCTCCTTGGTCTTCTCATCTCCTTTCCCTTTCCTTCGTGTGTGTGTGTGTGTGTGTGTGTGTGTGTGTACTCAAGGCCTGGGCGCTGTCCCTGACCTTTTTGTTCAACGCTACCACTTGCGCCAGGGCTCCACTTCTATTTGTTGGTAGTTTAACGGAGATCAGAATCTCACCAACTTGAGCCACACCTCCACTTACAGCTTTTTGCTGACTAATTGGAGATGAGTCTCACAAATCTTCCAGGCTGGCTGGCTTTGAACTGGGATTCTCAGCTCTCAGCCTCCTGAGTAGCTAGGATGACAGGCATAAGCCACTGGCCCCTGGCTCCCCATCTCCTTTTGTCTTGCAGGATTTTTTTCAGGATCTGGAGCCCAAGGATGTGTCTTCGAACTTTGGCCCCGACGCTGCCTCTGCAGGTATCGCTTGTGATATTTTCCCAAGAAGAAGAAGTTGTAACAGAAATGTCCAAAGGCAGGAAACCCTGCTGAGTGCATAGTCAGGCTGGGGGGTGGCTCTGGATGGAGGTCCGAGGGGCTGTGTGATCCTAGTAATTAGCTTTGCCACTTCCTGCTCAAGTGATAAGAGCTGGTCAAGGCGTTCTGACCGCAGGCTTCTGTTAAAAGAGTCCAAAAGAAATTGCCACTAATCAGTCATTTCTTCCTCCCTTGCCCCTTCTCTCCTTCTGCCCAGGCTGGCTGATTTTCAGCAACTTCGTGGTTTCTGACCACAGTTAAAAATACTTATTCCCCTTACAGGAGTGAAGGTGTATGTGTCATGGCCCTCAGAGGCAGTATACCTTCTTATGGGAAGGCTTTTCCCGTGCCTTATAGGTGGTGTCTCAGCCAGCCCCCCTTTCAAGTAGGACAATGGATGATTTAGATGAAAAGTTCGGTGATCTGGGTGTTGGGGGCTCACGCCTGTAATCCTAGCTACTCTGGAGGCTGAGATCTGAGGATCATGGTTCAAAGCCAGCCTGGGCAGGTCAGAAGTTGGAGCTGTAGCTCAAGTGATAGAGCTAGCTTTAAGTTCAGGGACAGTGACCAGGCCCTGAGTTCAAGCCCCAGGACTGGCAGGCACACATGCATGTACACCCCCCCCCCCATAAATCTGGTGGGAGCCAGAAACAAGTGGGCTAATATTCAAAGGGGAGAGAATGAGCAGGCAGTGTGACCAGTGTGACTGCCCAGCTTCTGTGTGTTATGGGCCAGGTGTGCGCTGGCCAGGGCCAGGCTGGGGCTGGAGCACCCTCAGCGCTGGTGAGGGGCAGGGGCCAGGGGCACCCCCAGAGCCAGCCTGGGGCAGAGGCCAGACCTCCCTGTATCAGGAGGCCCTGGTAAATTCTTGGCTATGGTGATGATGCCTTCCACTCTTCCTTCTTTTCCTCCTTATTTTCATGGTATCGGGGTTTGAACTCAGGGTCTCATGCTAGGCAGGCACTCTGCTGCGTGAGCCACACCTCCAGTCCCTTCCTCCTTCTTGGTGATGGTTATGTTTTTGAGGTAGAGTCTCTCTTTTTATCCTGGCCGGCCTGGACTGAGGTCCTCTTGTTTATACTTGCATAGCTTGGATGACAGGCGTGAACTACCACTCTCAGGTTTTTTTTTTTTTGGGTCCGGTTGTGGGGCCTGAACTCTGGGCCTCGGCGCTGTCCCTCAGCTCTTCAGCTCACGGCTAGCACTCTACCACTTGAGCCACAGCACCACTTCCGGCTTTTTCTTTTTGCTTATGTGGGTGCTGAGGAATCGAACCCAGGGCTTCATGCATGCAAGGCAAGCGCTCTACCACTGAGCCACCTTCTCTCAGTTTTTGTTGAGGAGTGTGTAGGGGTATCTCTAACTTCTTGCCTGGGTGATCCTCCACCTCTTAGTCCCTCCATGACTACAGGTATGAGACACGGGGCTCAGCCTGGAGCCAGCCAGGATGGAGCACCCAGGGAACACCTGGCTACAAACGGGCTATTTGTGTAGAGTGTCCACTGAGTACACCTCATGCTATGAGCAGCCCCGCCCTGAAGACAAAGCGCACCCCGCCGTGTGCTCCGGGTCTCCTGCCCCTGTGGTGTCATGACCAGGTTTCTTTTTTCTTTTGGTCATGAGGCTTGAACTCGGCCTGGGCGCTGCCCCTCAGCTCTTCAATTCAAGGCTAGTGCTCCACCACTTGAACTATAGCACCCCTTCCGGCCTTTTCTGCTTATGTGGTGCTGAGGAATTGAACCCAGGGCCTCATGATGCAAGGCAAGCACCCTACCGCTGAGCCACCTTCCCAGCCCCCATGACCGGGTTTCTCATGCTCCCCTTGTTGCAGATGGGGACTTGGTGGCTCACTGGAAGTGGCTACCCCAGGCCTGCCAAGTAGCTCCAGGGCACAGCTGCATCTGCCGCTGCGCAGGCCTGGCTGGCACATTCTGCCCCTGCACCCAGGTGGGAAGAAGGGCTGTCCTGGGCTTTGTCTGCCATCTTGGGCTGACTCAATTGTACAGTCGGTGATAGAGAAGGGTGGAGGCTGTGGAGCAGGGCCTGCCCTAGGGGCAATTGGGGGCTGTGGAGGAGGGCCCCGCGCAAGATGGACCCCTGGTCCCATGGGACCCTGTCACCAGTGGGAGTCAGGCCCTCGGGTAACTCTTCCTCCTCCTCCTCTTCCTATCCTTCTCCTCTTCCCGTCCTACTCCTCTGCCTCCTCTTCTTCCTCCTCCTCCTCCTCTTCATCTACTTCTTCCTCTTTTTCCTCTTCCTTTTCTTCTTCTCCTTCTCCTTTTTCTTTTTCTTTTTGTGTCAGTACTGGGGCTTGCACATGGGGCCTGGGCACTGTCCCTTAGATTTTCACTCAAGGCTGGTACTCTACCACTTGAGACACAGCTCCACCTCCTGCTTCTTGGTGGTTCATTGGAGATAACAGTCTCATAGATTTCCCTGCCTTGCAGATCACAGGCTCCTGAGTAGCTGGGATTGCAGGCGTGAGCCACTAGTGTCCAGCTCTGTCTGTTATTCTCTTTTTTGTTGTTGTTGTTTGTTTTGGTCAGTAGTGGGTCTTGAACTCTGGGCCTGGGCACTGTCCCCAAGCTCTTCAGCTCAAGTATAGCACTCTACTACTTGAGCCACAGTGTCACTTCCGGTTTTCTGGTGGTTTATTGGAGGTAAGAGTCTCATGGACTTTCCTGCCATGGCTGGCTTTGAACTGGGATCCTCAGATCTCAGCCTCCTGAGTAGCTAGGATGACAGATGTGAGCCACCAGCACCTGTCCTGTTTCTCACTCTTGAGCACCAGCTTTCTAGAGCCTTCACTTTCAGCCTTCCCCTGCTCTCTCAAGTCTCCCTTCTTTCCAGAACCTTCACCTTCAGCATTTTCTTCCTTTCCCAGGTCTCCTGTCCCCTGGCCTCCAGAGGCGAAGGTGGGCTGCTGGGGACATTTTATACCTGGAACTGTTGGTGGTTGTGGGCCCCGATGTCTACCAGGTTCACCAGGAGGACACCGAGCGCTATATACTGACAAATCTCAACATCGTGAGTGCTGGGTGGGACTGGCACTGGCTGGCACAGGAAGGGAAGGCTCCAGACACAGTTCCTCATCCAGTGCATTTGAACTTGGTCTTGTTGACTTGGGTAGAGATTGGATGTTGGGGTCAGCTGGGGGCTCAGGGCCCTGTGGGTGGTCAGAGGTTTTCCTTTTTCCTCTGTCCCTACTCGGTAGCACAGGTGGGTGAGATCTGGGTACCCCCCTCAGCTCCATGCACCCTACTGACTCTTTCTCCTTTGGTCTGTGCCTGAAGCTACCCTCAAGCCTCTCTTCCCCAGCATCCGTTCAGCCAATGATGGGCTCAGGCTGCCCGCTTAGTCCTGCATTCCCCACTGATGTCCTCTCTCGGCCCCCTCATCCTGTGCTGGCAAGGTGCAGAGCAGGCCAATGCCCAAAGGGTACTGATGGTTCACATCTGTAATCCTAGCTACTTGGGAGGCTGAGACCTGAGGATCGCAGATGGAAGCCAGCTCGGATAAACAAATCCATGAGTTTTATCTCATCCATTCAACTATCCACCACTGGCTCGGAGCCTAAGAACGGGCATTTCCGCCTCCCTGCCACCTGTTCTTGTTGATGGAGTTTCCAGCCATCCTTACGCTTTGCTTTCCGCAGGGGTCGGAACTTCTGAAGGACCCAAGCCTGGGGGCTCAGTTCCGAGTGCATCTGGTGAAGCTGATGATCCTCATGGAGCCCGAGGTGGGTACTGGGTCGGACGCGTGCTGAGCTGAGAGGCGGCGCCCCTCCACCCTCCTCTGCAGTGCCTGCAGGACTCCCACCCAGCTCTCCGGGTACTCAGCCAGAGCTGAGCGATGGCACTGCTGGGGCCGCAGTTTCCTCGTCGGCAGTGGGCGGGGCTGGGGGGGCGGATAGCTGTACAGGATAGCTGTAGTGCTGTGAGAAGGAATGACAGACAGACCGGCCAAAGCGGGCTCTGTTACCCATCTCTCAGGATGCTCCAAATATCACAGCCAACATCACGTCGTCCCTGCAGAGCGTCTGTGAGTGGAGCCAGACCATCAACCCCACGGATGACTCGGCTCCTGGGCACGCTGACCTGGTCCTCTATGTCACCCGGTAGCGGGGCTCCCTGACAGTTTGCCACGCCAGGGAGGGGCTACGCCATGACCACCGCATGGGGCAGCGGGGAGCTGGCTGTGGCAAGCACTGGAGCCACCCAGGTGACTCTTCTCTTGCCAAGGTTTGACCTGGAATTACCGGATGGTAACCGGCAGGTTCGGGGGGTCACCCGGCTCGGAGGCCTCTGCTCCCCATCCTGGAGCTGCCTCATCACCGAGGACACTGGGTTCGACCTGGGAGTCACCATCGCCCATGAAATTGGGCACAGGTGTGTGACCCACCCGCGGTCGCCAGGTCCCCACAGGGGAGGGGCGGTTATCCGCAGAGGCAGTGAGTCTCGTAGAAACTACCAGAAGAGTTGTCCCCTTGAGCGGAGGGGACCAGGAAGGCGGGGAGGGGTTGAGGCAGGACTCTAATGCTTCTTGTTTGCCAGGTGATTAGAAGCCCCTGACCGCACCTGGGCTGGAGGAACTTCCACACCCCGAGCCCAGGCGGCCGTGATGGCAGCCTCCCCCCACCCCCATTTACAGTGCCACAGATTGGTTTAACTCAAGGGTCAGGAGCCACCCAGCTGAGCCAGCAGGACTGTCCATTGGGAAACTGAGGCAGGGTGGCCCCATAACTTGTTCCATGGTGTATTTAGCTAATGGCAGGGTCAGGGGCCAGCCTGGGTACTACGCGTGGCTGGGTGGGACCTGAGAGGAGGCCTGTGCCAGCCCCAACCCCACCAGCCGCTCTCGGCACCGTCCCGTGCCCTCAGCCTCGGCCTGGACCACGACGGCACGCAGGGCGGAGGCTGCGGGTCCAGTGGCCACGTGATGGCGTCAGCTGGCGCGGTGTCAGCGGGCGGGGCTCTGGGGTGGTCCTCCTGCAGCCGCAGGCAGCTGTGGCAACTGCTGAGGTACGACCCCCCCACCCACACCGGGGCTGCCGCTCCCTGCCTGCCTTGCTGCCGGGCCCCTCGTCTCCGCCGGGCGGCAACCCTGCTTCCTTCCCGTCCTCTGGCACCCATCCTCCACTGTATGTGACACACCCCGCCTGACACTTCTGCCCTCCCTCATTCTCACTTCCGGACACCCACTCCTCTGTCCCACCCCGTTCCTCAGGCCCACCCTGCAGCGGCCCCTTCCCCTTCATCTGCCCCACCTGCTCCCATCTCTCCTGTGGACCCCTCTGGCCCCCTCCAGCCCTGCCGGCATCCACTCTTCCATCCCAGCCCCCAGGCCCCATCTCTGGTCCATGGTCCTCACCTCCACCGTCTGCTCAGCTCGGCACCCATCACCTCCTGTCCAGTGTCCCAGCCCACCCTGCCCACGTCCACACCTCCTGGTGTCGGGGACGGGGTGAGGGGGAGGAGAGGGGCCTGAGCCGGGGTCCGTCGCAGGGCAGGGAGAGCACGCTGCTTGTGGGACCAGCCTGGGCCACAGTCCAGACCCGTGGGCTTCCCCCAAGATGCGCAGCCCGGCCTCTACTACGATGCTGACCAGCAATGTCGCATTGCCTTTGGGCCCCGGGCTGCGGCCTGCACCTTCGCCAGGGAGGGCTTGGTGAGTGGCAGCTCCTTGTCTGCACCCTGCCCTGCCCGGTTCACCTCCCCCGGGTGCCCACGCGGTGCCCGCCACCCTCCAGAGGCACGCCTAGACCCACAAGCATCATTGTGAAACAGTTTTGAACCATAGTCCCCACATTTTTGTTTGACTAGGACCCACAGATTGTGTCGGAGGTCCTGGGACAGGCCCGGCAGGTACCAGCTTGCAGTCTGCCAAGCTGAGCTCCGCACAGAGGGCTTCCCCGCAGGAGGTGGCCTCACGGCAAGACTATGCCTGACAGGGGGCCGGGAGGCGGAGGGGGCACAGGCACCACCAGAGACAGACTTCCTCCCAGGACTCCCTAGGACTGCCAACGGCCCTGAGCCCTTTTGCCCTGGGGTTCCTTCCTCCATAAAAAGTATTCTTATTAGGTGTACAGGTGTGGTTTAAGTGGTAGAGTGCTGGCCTTGCAAGTATGAGCCCTGAGTTCACACCCAGTACCACTGGGCACCGGTGGCTCCCGCCTGGAATCCTGGCTACTCAGGAGGCTGAGTTCTGAGAACTGAAGTTCAAAGCCAGTCTGGGCAGGAAAGTTTGTGAAACTTTTTTTTTTTCAATTTCCAGTTGTAGGCCTTGAACTCTGGGCCTGGGCACAATCTCTCAGCTCTTTAGCTCAAGGCCAGCACTCTACCACTTGAGCCACAGTGCCACTTCCAGTTTTCTGAGTGGTTTATTGGAATAAGAGTCTCATGGACTTTCCTCCTGGCCTAGACTTTGAACCTTGATCCTCGGATCTCAGCCTCCTAAGTAGCTAGGATTATAGGAGTCAGACACCTGTTGCCTGGCTTCCTGAGACTCTATCTCCAGTTAACCACAAATAGCTGGAAGTGGAGCTGTGGCTCAAGTAGTAGAGTGCCAGCCTGGAGCAACAAAGCTAAGGGACAGCACCCAGGCCTTGAGTCAAGCCCAGTACCAGCACCAAAACAAAACTAAAAACCAAACTCAAAAAACACAAAATAACCCCAAACCTTGTACCACTGAAACACAGAGAGGGGTGAGTGGAGAGAGAGAGAATTATGTATTTAGTTGTTAAATAAAACGTATACACTTTTGTGCCTTATTATCCATACAAGTATTTAAGGTACACGTATATTCTGTATGTTAAGTACAACTAATTAATACATTAATTATATATCTAAACAATTGTTTTGGCCTTAAACTTTATCTTTCTCTTCTGATTCAGAAGATATGAAAACATTTTCCAAGCTCTCTGGAAGCCTGTTAGCCCTGGCTAGGATCCTTCTCTTTTTAATTTTTTTAAACTTTTTGTTATTGTAAGGGTGATGTACCAAGGTTACAGTTTGCGGGTCAGGTAGAGCGTGTATCTATTTTTTTTTCTTTTCTTTTTTGGTTGTGGGGCCTGAACTCTGGGCCTGGGCGCTGTCCCTCAGCTCTTCAGCTCAATGCTAGTGCTCTACCACTTGAGCCGCAGCGCCACTTCCGACTTTTTCTGCTTATGTGGTGCTGAGGAATCAAACCTCATGCATGCAAGGCAAGCGCTCTACCACTGAGCCACCTTCCCAGCCCTACAGCGTGTATTTCTTTTTAGACTTGCACTCTCCCAGTTAGGATCCTTCTCTTGATGATGACCAGTCCTCCCTGCCACTGGGCAGTGACCACGGAGGCGGGTCTGGGCAGGCCAGTGTGTCCTGTGGTCTGAGTGGCCACCCGGCTCCCTTCTCAGGATGCGTGCCAGGCTCTCTCCTGCCACACGGACCTCCTAGACCACAGCAGCTGCAGTCGCCTCCTGGTCCCTCTCCTGGATGGCACGGAATGTGGGATGGCGAAGGTCAGAGCAAAGAGCGACCGGTGGAGCATGTGTGGGAGCGCACGTGTGCGCAGGCGTGCTCCCCCAGAGCAGTCCCAGCAGGGCCATCTCCCTCGGGGGAGGGGAGGGGAGGTGGGATCTGAGCCTGGGGAGACCCTGGCTGGGTCTGCAGGGATGGCAGAGGTTTCCCGACATTAGACTCCCCTCAGCCCTTTGAAGGCCTGGAAGGCGTTCTAGGCTTGCAGTACCCACATTGCTTTACCAAGATGTGAGGGGAGGTCCCTGTGGGTACTGGGGGTGGTCCCTGGGGAGGGCTCCCCGTGGGGGTGGGAGGTCAGCCATGTCTACCTTGCAGTGGTGCTCCAAGGGTCACTGCCGCTCACTGGCGGAGCTGAGTCCCGTGGCGGCTGTGCATGGACACTGGTCTGGCTGGGGTCTGCGTGGCCCTTGCTCCCGCACCTGTGGAGGAGGTGTGGTCCTCAGGAGGCGGCAGTGCAACAACCCCAGGCACGCGGGTACCCCAGGGAGGGGGGGCCTCATCAGGGAAGATGGCCACGCCCCACTCCCTGGGCCATGGTCACCTCTCACCTCTGGTATTTCACGGTCATTTCCAGGCCTGCCTTTGGGGGCCGTGCGTGTGTCGGTGCTGAGTTCCAGGCAGAGATGTGCAACACCCAGGTAGGCCCGCCTCCCAGGCTGGGCAGGCTGGGTGGGAGACAGCAACCATGTGGTCAAGTTGTGGTCCACACCTTGCTTTTGCAAGGGACATTGGGACCACAGGGCATAAAGCAGGCGGTCCCGCTGGTGATCCACAGAGCCGCTGAAGTGTTTGCCTCCATCCCCAAGCGCCCCTCGGCTCACTGCCGCCTCAGAGTCTTCCCTGGGGAGCCCCCACTGTGGGGTGTCAGCCATGCTTGTAGATTGAGCTGAAGCCTAGGCCACATAGCCGCGGCCGTGTGGAGGCTAACTGCACAGTGGCGTTCAGCGCACTGGCAGTGTTGCGCAGCACCAGCTTCGTATGGGTCCAAGCATGGCCACCCCTCCAGGGAAGCGTGCCACACCAGTACTCAGCCTCCTGTTTCCCTCCCCTGCTCCCACCCTGCAGGGCTGCTGGTCCCCTTTCTGCCGCTATGGATCGCGGTGGTGCCCTTTGGTGCCTGGCTCATTTTCCTTAGCCCAGCGCTTTCAGGGGCCATCTGCGGGAGTACCATGAGAGTGGACTTCACGCCCACTGAAGGCCGAATAGTGTCCCACCGCCCGGACAGAACACTTGTTGCACTGAAGTTTGCGAGCGGCTGGAAATGAACTTGAATGTGTGTCTTTTGGAGTCTCTGTCATCATTCCTCTTAGCTGTTTGGCTGATTCAGTCTGTTTGGGCTGCTATCACAAAACACCACAGGCTGAGTCATTTGTAAACGGCAGAGCTGCTGGGTAGTCCAAAATCAAGGCCTGGCAGGCGTGGTATCTGGTCAGGGCTGCTCTCTGCTCTCCAGGTGGTGCTCTGTGGCCCTGTCCTCCAGGAGAGAGGATCCTAGATCCTCTCATGGCAGGGGGGCGGAGAGGCAGAGGGTCCATGCCCCCCTACATTGCCTAAGGGTGCAGTCCCAGTCACCAGGGGGCACCATCGTGAGTGAATAAGAGATGTCATCACATCTTACCATTGCAGCTTGCAGATTAAGTTTCCTTGTGAAGTTTGGAGGGGACTCTATCACCGCATCATAGTACTACCTAAAAGTAGACTTGCTGGGTCACGTGAGAATTCTGTTTGATGTGGGACTTGCCAGGGTTTGAAGTCAGAGCCCCACCCTTGCCTGGCAGGCACTTTCTTGTTTGAACCGCACCTCCAGTTCTTCTTCCTTTCCTGGTTTTCCAATAGGCCCTTGCTTTTTGCCTGAACTAAGATCCTCCTACATGTGCATCCATTGTGACTGGTGGCAGGCCACCACCCCTGGCTTGGTGTTTTAGTGTGTGTGTGTGTGTGTGTGTGTGTGTGTGTGTGTGTGTGTGTGAACCGGGCTTGAACCCAGCTTTTACTCAGCATTTTCACTCAAGGCTAGCACTCTACCACTTGAGCCTCAACTCTACTTCTGGCTTTTTGCTGGCTAATTGGAAATAAGAGTCTCACAGACTTTTCTTCTGGATCTGGTTTTGCATGATCCTCAGATCTCAGCTTCCTAAGTAGCTAGGATTGCAGGCATGAGCCACCAGTGCTGGCTTGTATTTGACTTTTGGGGACTCTCCCAACCATTTTCCACAGCGCCTAGCCATTTTGCATTCCAGCAGCCCTGTGTAAGGGATGCAGGTTTCCACGTCCTCCCATCCTGGAGCCATCCGTTCTCTAGTCCTGGCCATCCCATCCTGCTTGGTGTGAAATGGTGAAACGGTGCTTCTAACATCCAGTTAATAACGGGCATCTGCTTTGGACAGCCCTGGGTTTGAGTCTGGCTGGGGCTCTAGGATGTGCTGCATGTGCTCCGAGTGCTGTCCCTGTCCTCCAGGCAGGTACCCAGGGCCTCTCCAGATCTCCAGAGGAGCATCTTCTCCTGGGCACAGAGTGGCAGCCCATTTTGTGTCTGTGCCCAGCACATTAACACTGATTCTTTTCTCTCCAGAGCAGAAATGTGTAAAATACTGCTGGAGGCTGGGGTTCCGGCCTGCTGTTTCCTAGTTAATGACCTACCCCAGATGCACTCAGAAATGAATAAACCAATTAGCCTCTTTCCTCAGGTCCCAGCCTTGGAGCCAGTGGTCCCAAGGGTAGTGCGCTTCCCCACTTTCTTCCCGCTGCTGCTCTTTGCCCTTTACAAATTCTCTGGAATTTTTCCATCAGCAGAGTGAGCCAGATGCTCTGCTTACCCTCCCCCTGTCCCCCAGCCCTCAGACTAGAGAGCTGAGGCATAGCCTGGGGCTGGATCACCCCACATCCTGGATCTGTTCCAGGGTACATATCGGCTCCCACAGACAAGGACCCTATCAGTGCCTGTCCCCTGCCTCCTCTGACCAGGCTTGTGAGAAGACCCAGCTGGAGTTCATGTCTGAGCAGTGCGCTCAGACAAACAACCGGCCGCTGAGCCTCTCCAGGGACAGCCCCTCCTTCTACCACTGGGGTGCAGCCGCACAGTACAGCCAAGGTAGGATGAGCACAGGGCAGGGCCCTGGAGATCTCTGTTGGCCAGTCACCTGGATTGATTGGCACTGTCACTCTGGCTGGTTGAGCAGGGTTGAGGCTCAAGCTGTGGTGTCTCATAGGCTGTGGGACTGACCTGGCCTCCCCAGGAGATAGCAGAGGTCCCATCTCTGAGTATCGGTTTTCCCTTCTGAAATAGAGGCAATTTCAATGTCTCCTCTTGGTGTTGCTAGAATGATTCTGGGAAATAATGCAGGGCAAATGCCATGTGCTTATATTTTTTTTTTTTTGGTCGGTCATGGGGTTTGAACTGTGGGCCTTGAACTCTGGGCCTGGGCGCTGTCCCTCAGCTCTTCAGCTCAAGGTTAATGCTCTACTACTTGAGCCACAGCACCACTTCCAGTTTTCTAGTGGTTCATTGTCGATAAGAGTCTCACAGACTTTCTTGCCTGGGCTGGCTTTGAACTATGATCTTCAGATCTCAGCCTCCTGAGTAGCTAGGATTACAGGCGTGAGCCACAGAAGCGTGGCTCATGTACTTATGATTTGATCATGTAAAGAGATATGTAAAGGATGTAGCTGGAGAGGCTGGTGGAAGAGGGCGGGGCCTGGGGAAGGAGGAAGGGACTGAGGGAGGAAGGAGGGGCTTTGAGGAGGAGGTCACTTGGACCTTGCCAAGTGGCCATGGAAGGTTCCAGAGAGGCTTCCCAGTCCAGCTCCCTGCCCTTCTTGCCCATCTCACTTCAGTGACCCTGTCGGTGTCCTCTGCCTTCCCAGGGGACGCTCTCTGTGGCCACCTGTGCTGGGCAGTGGGCGAAAGCTTCATGGTGAGGCGTGGAGACAGATTCGTGGATGGGACCCGGTGTGTGCGGGGCCGCCCTCACCAGGATGGGACGCTGAGCCTCTGTGTGTCGGGCAGCTGCAGGGTAGGAACCAACCTGCCCAGCCCTGTGTCCCTGAGGCCTGCCTGCGCTCTGCCAGCTCCTGAGGGGAGGGTACACGCAGGCTGCCGTCCAGTGGGCCAGTCCTGTGGTCTGCAGGGCTGGAGATGGCAGTCCATGCCTGGAGCGAGGCAAGTCCTGTGAGCCTCGGAGCTTTCCCTGTGGACGGAAGGAGCTGCAGGGGTGCGGCCACGGGCTGTGGGGCTGTGGCTCAGGGCAGGGGTGCGGCCGCGGGCTGTGGTGCAGGGAGACCATCGCCTCCGTGACACCAGTCTGTGCTGCCCCCCCCCTTGCCCAGGCGTTTGGCTGTGATGGCAGGATGGACTCCCTGCAGGTATGGGATGCGTGCCAGGTGTGCGGAGGGGACAACAGCACATGCAGCCTGCGGAATGGCTCTTTCACAGCCGGGAGAGCCGGAGGTAGGGGCCGCCCTCCGGTGGAGCGTGGGTCTCCTGCCAGTGCCTGGAGCCTTGGCACAGGCTGCATGGGGCCCAGGGCCCGATGCTCACTCGGCACGTCTCCGTCCATCCTGCCCTGGGTGGCCCTCCACCGCAGGCTCAGAATGTGGTGAGGTGGTTGGCTCAGGTTGGGGCGCTCAGTGACTCATTCCCTGTGTAGCTACGCAGGTCTCCTCCTTCCTCCGACAGGAACTCCCAGCAGCAGGACGCTGTGGACAGCTGGGCTGTCACACCGGGTCATCCTTCACTCTGGCCTATTTGAAACAGAAGTCGGACCCAGGTGTTGGTGGCTCAAGAGCCTGAGATCTGAGCTGGGAAGGTGGCTCAGTGGTAGAGCGCTTGCCTTGCATGCATGAGGCCCTGGGTTCGATTCCTCAGCACCACATAAGCAAAAAGAAAAAAGCCAGAAGTGGCACTGTGGCTCAAGTGGTAGAGTGCTAGCCTTGAGCTGAAGAGCTGAGGAGCTGAGGGACAGTGCCCAGACCCAGAGTTCAGCCCCCATGACCGACCAAAAAAAAAAACAAAAGCCTGAGATCTAAGGATTATGGTTCAAAGCCAGCCCAGGCTGGAAAGTCTGAGACTCTTATCTCCAACTAACCTCCAAAAAGCTGCAAGTAGAGCTGTGGCTCAGTGGTAGAGTGCTATCCCTGAGTAGAAAAGCTCAAGGACAGCACCCAAGCTTTGAGTTCAAATCCTAGAACTGGTGTACGAGTACATGCGGGCGGGTGCGTGCATGCGTGTGCGCGTACACATACTCACACACAGTAGAAAATCACGTGCCAGAGCAGTGTTCCATGGTCAGTGGAGGCCTGCAGCCCTGCCGCCCACTGCTGTGCCCACTGCCTGCAAACCAGCCTGTGGCTCTTCATGTGGCCACGAGCAACCCTCGACATTGTCTGCTCCTCTCTGTCCAGCTCCCTGTGACTGCTGTGTAGGTGGCCACCAGGCCCACCTGGCTCACGGCCATTCTGCTTCTCCCTAGAGTACGTCACGTTCCTGATGGTCACTCCCAGCATCACTGGGGTGCACGTCGTCAACCGCAGGCCTCTCTTCACGCACTTGGGTGAGTGTGACCTGGAAACTCCTCCTGAACTTAGCTACACATCTTAGTCCCCAACATGCCTTCACCTGTGACACCTCCTAACTACCCCACTGCCGTATTCCAAGTGTGCTTAACCTGGGGAGGGAGGAAATGAAGAGAGGGACAGGTGGAGGGTCAAGGTTGAAAGAGACCTGGGGCTGATCCTGGGCAGAGTGTTAACGTGAAGGTTCCCTGTGCCAGGACTGTGGTGCCTTCTACCATCCAAACATGACATACTTGGGTGATGGGTCAACTGAGGAGGCCCTGGACCAGGGCTCACAGTTCTTATTGGAACAGGGTGCTGGTGGCTCACTTCTGCGGGCCTGGCTACTCAGGAGGCTGAGATCGGAGGATCCAGGCTTGAACTCTGAGCCTGGGTGCTGCCCCTGAGCTTCTTTTGCTCAAGGCTACCATTCTACTACTTGAGCCACTGCACCACTTATGGCCTTTTCTGTGATTTAATTGGAGATAAGAGTTTCAAGGACTTTTCTGCCAGGGCTGGCTTCAAACTGTAATCCTCTGATCTTAGCCTCCTGAGCAGCTAGGATTATAGGCAGGAAGCCCCTGGCAAGCCTAGTTTTAATTTTCTTTTGCAGATAAAGATTGAGTGCTTGGTGGCTCACCTGGATAGCACCACTCCAGGTGATCCAAAGCCCTACCTCACATCCAGTTGCTGTCTTTCTGGCATAGCCAATCCAGACATTGGGCCTGCTAGTATTGCCAGACCCCCTCAGCTCTGGGGAGGCCCATCCCTACGCTGGATAGAGATACGCCTCTGCTTCTCCTCAGAAGGCCTGCACAGAGGCTGGACCTCTCTTGGGGAAGGCCAGGCTTCTGTACTATGCCATTCCTTGATGGGTCTTTATTTCTCAAGGACACTTACTCTTGACCTTTTATAAAAAAATAATTTTCTTTATTGTAATTATAAAGGTGATGCACAGAGGGTCTGCAATTACATGAGTCAGGTAGTGAATAAATTTCCTTTCATATAGCGTCTTCTCTCCCCTCTTTTTCAGTCCCTCCTTTCTGCTACTTTCATAGGTGTCCAGTGAGCTCCACTGCTACATTTTTCTTCATCCTTTTTCCCTCAAGTTCTGTGCCTTCCTGAAGAGATACACTTGAATACACCATACATAAAGAAAAGAAAACAATCACAAGAAGAGAGGTCTTTTGTTTCCATATCTTGGAGTTTGTATATATATATATATATATGTTATTTTTTGTATATATGAAGAGGCATGTAGACATTGCACCTTTTTGTTTCTCTCTTAAAACTCTCTTCTTTTGGTGTCACTGTATGTGCATATCTAGAATCTGGTATACTTTGTCCTATCCCAGTGCATTTTGGATATAACTTCTGCACATCAGAGAGAACCTGTACAGTTGGTCTCTCTGATCTTGGCTTACCTCTCTTAACATGATTTGTTCTAGTTCCATCCATTTCCCTGCAAATGACATTATTTCTTTCAAATGGCTGTGTAAAATTCCATTGTGTACAGGTACCCCATTTTTTGGATCCACTCCTCTATTGTGGGGTATCTGGGCTGTTTCCATGGTTTGGCTATTGTGAATAGTGTGGCAGTGAGCATGGAGGTGCAGGTGTCTTTATCATAGCCTGGCTCGTGATGGTCAGGGTAAATGTCCAGGAGTGATATGGCTGGTCACAGGGAACTTTCGTTTTTGAGGAACCTCCAGACTGCTTTCCAGAGTGGTTGTACTAGTTTATATTCCCACCAGCATTTGCTATTATTCAACTTCAAAATGTTGGCCAGTCTAACTGGGGTGAGATGGAATCTCAGGGTGGTTTTGATTTGCATTTCCTTTACAAGCATTTCTTTACTGTTCTTACCTCTTCTGAGAAGTCTCTCCTTAGCTCCCTTGCCCATTTCCTGATTGGTTTATTTGATTTGGGAGAGGTTAGTTTCTTGAGCTCCTTGTATATATTGGATTTTAGGCCTTTCTCTGGTATATTGCTGGTAAAGATCTTCTCCCAGTCTGTTGGCTGTCTTTCTAGTTTAGTAACTATGTCCTTAGCTGTACAGAATCTTTTTATTTTGATGGTCCGCTGATCAAGTCTCCTATCTGTTGTGCCCCTGGGACTCTTCAAGAAGTTTCTTCTAGGGGCTGGGAAGGTGGCTCAGTGGTAGAGTGCTTGCCTCTCATGCATGAGGCCCTGGGTTCGATTCCTCAGAACCACATAAGCAGAAAAACCCAGAAGTGGCACTGTGGCTCAAGTGGTAGAGCACTAGCCTTGAGCTGAAGAGCTGAGGGACAGTGCCCAGGCCCAGAGTTCAGGCCCAATGACTGACAAAAAAAAAAAAAAGGCTGGGAAGGTGGCTCAGTGGTAGAGCGCTTGCCTTGCATGCTTGAGGCCCTGGGTTCGATTACTCAGCACCACATAAACAAAAAGAAAAAAGCCGGAAGTGGCACTGTGGCTCAAGTGGTAGAGCACTAGCCTTGAGCTGAAGAGCTGAGGGACAGTGCCCAGGCCCAGAGTTCAGGCCCAACGACCGGACCCAAAAAAAAAAAAAGAAGTTTCTTCTATAGCTATGACTTCTAATGTTTCTCCTACTCTCTCCTGCAGTGATTTCACAGTTTTGGGCCTGATGTTGAATTGAAGTCTTTGATCTACTTTGAATTGATATTAGTGCATGGTGACACAGGGATCCACTTTTAGTTTTCTGCATATGAATGCACACTTTTCCCAACACCAACTATTGAACAGGCTTTTTCCCCCCACTGTATGTCTTTAGCTCCCTAATCAAATATCAGATAACTGTAAGTGTATGGTTTTATTTCTGGGTCTTCTAATCTGTTTCATTGATCTTCAGGTCTATTTTTGTGCCAATACCAAGCTGTTTTTGTTATTATAGCTCTGTAGTAGAGCTTGAGGTCTGGTATTGTGATACTGCCTGCATTATTATTTTCTTTTTACTTAGAATTGCTTTGAATATTTGTTGTTCCATATGAATTTTTGGGTTATTTTGTCTATCATGGTAAAGAATGTCATTGGAATTTTGATGAGTATTGCATTGAATTTGTATATCATTTTCACAATATTGATTGTACCTATTCATGAACATGGAAGGTCTTTCCATTTTCTGGTGGCCTCTTCAATTTCATTCTTCAGATTTTTATAGTTTTTAACTATAAAGATCTTTTATGTCTTTAGTTAGGTTTATTTCTAGGTATTTTTGTTTTTGAGGCCATTGCAAATGGAGTTGTTTTCATGATTTTCCTTTCTGCTTTTACATGATTGACATACCAAAAGGCTACTGATTTGGGGGGGTTAACTTTGCCAAAATGACTGATCAGCTCTAGGAGCTTGGGGGTGGAGTCTTTTGTTCTCTTTAGGTATAAGATCATATTGTCTGCAAATAAGGATAGTTTGACTTCATTCCTTATGTGAATCCTTTTTATGTCCTTTTCTTGCCTTATTGCTCTGGCTAGAAATTCCAGAACTATATTGAAGAAGAGTGGAGAGAGTGGACATCCTTGCCTTGATTCTGATTTTAGGTGAAATGGTTTTAGTTTTTACCATTCTGTATCACATTGGCTATTAATCTATCATATATAGCCTTCTGTTACTTTAAGGAATGTTCCTTTTATTCCTAGCTCTTCCAAAGCTTTTAACATGAATGGATGTTGTATTTTGTTGAAGGTTTTTTCTGCCTCTGTTGAGAGGATCATGTGGTTCTTGACTTCGGCTCTGTTGATATAGTGAATTACACTTATTTATTTATGTGTGTTAAACCAGTCTTGCATCTGTGGGATGAAGCCTACTTGGTCATAATGTATGATTTTTTTTTTAGTTTCTGGATCCTCTTGGCTAGTATTTTATTGAAGAGCTTTGTGTTCATCAGAGAAATTGGTCTATAGTTCTCTTTTTTTGTTGGCTCTTTACCTGGTCTTGGGATGAATATGACATTAGCTTCATAGAATGAATTTGGAATTGCTTCCTCTGTTTCTATTTCATGGAAAACTTTGAGGAGTATTGGTGTTAGTTCATCTTTAAATGTCTTATAGAATTCAGCAGTGAATCCATCTGGGCCTGGGCTTTTCTTTGTTGGAAGACTTCTGATTACTTCCTCAATTTCTTTCTTTTTTTTTTTTTTGGGTCCGGTCGTTGGGCCTGAACTCTGGGCCTGGGCACTGCCCCTGAGCTCTTCAGCTCAAGGCAAGCACTCTACCACTTGAGCCATAGCACCACTTCTGGCTTTTTCTGCTTATGTGGTGCTGAGGAATTGAACCCAGGGCCTCAGGCATGCAAGGCAAGCGCTCTACCACTGAGCCACCTTCGGTATCTACAGTTTTCCACCCAACTCACAAGCTTCTCAGCAGCCCAGAGAACATTTTCCAAGATGGATCATACCATAGGGCACACCAGAACCTAAGCAAATACAAGAGGATTAAGATAATTCCTTGCATGCTATCTCACCACAGTAGAATCAAACTAGTTCTCAACAACAAAACATACTTCCTCAATTTCATTACATGTTATTGGCCTGTTTAACTGGTTTATATTTTCTTGGTTCAACTGAGGCAGTTTGTATGTCTCTAGAGATTTGTCCATTTCTGCTAGGTTTTCCTTCTTATTTGACCATAGGTTTTGAAAGTAGTTCTTTTTAATTGCTTGGGTTTCTTGGTTATTTCTTGTAATGTTTCCTGTGCAATCTCTAATTTTATTGATTGAATATTGTCTCTTTGTCCATCTCAGTAGAGATCTGTCAATTTTATTGATTTTTTTCAAAGAACTGGTTTTTGTTTTGTTGATTTTATGTACAGTTTTTTTTTTTTCTTGTCGGTTGTGGAGCTTGAACTCTGGGCCTGGGCACTGTCCCTCAGCATTTCAGCCCAAGGCTAGTGCTCTACCTCTTGAGCCACAGTACCACTTCTTGTTTTCTGAGTGGTTTTTGGAGATAAGAGTATTAAGGCCTTTCCTGCCCAGGCTGGCTTTGAACTGTGATCCTCAGATCTCAGCCTCCTGAATAGCTAGGATTACAGGTTTGAGCCACTGGTGCTGGGCTTTATGTACAGTTTTTAAAGTCTCTGTTTCATTAATTTCCGCCCTAACCTTTGCTATCTCTGTCCCTCTAGTAGTTTGGGATTGTTTTTTTCTTGTTTTTCTGGCAGTTTTGGTTGCATCATGAGGCTATTGAGCTATTTCTATTTTCTTTATGTGTGCACTTAGAGCTATAAATTTTCCTCTCAGCACTGCTTTGGCTATATCCCAGAGGTTCACTGTGATGTATTTTTTCACTGAAGTGTAGGAGCTTTAGTGACCCATGTGTTATTCAGTGGTGTGTTATTCGGTCTCCATGTGTTCAGTGTTTTCTGCAATATGTTTTGTTGTTGAGAACTAGTTTGATTCTACTGTGGTGAGATAGCATGCAAGGAATTATCTTAATCCTCTTGTATTTGCTTAGGTTCTGGTGTGCCCTATGGTATGATCCATCTTGGAAAATGTTCTCTGGGCTGCTGAGAAGCTTGTGAGTTGGGTGGAAAACTGTAGATACCGATTAAGTCCATTTGTACTCTTGACCTTTGAACCCAGAGAGGGAATGCTGGCTCTGAGTCCTTGAGTCTGTTTGTTGAGTTCCGATTGGGGTAGAAGTCATGGCCCTCACCAGGTTCTAGGAAGAGGTGTGTTTGGGGGGGGGGGAGCCTTGTAGGTGGGATGTTGGCCAGAGGTGTATGTACACAGAGGGGTCTCTCGTGTTAGAGACCACCAGTCTGAGGCAGGAGGGAGACCTGGCTGTGAGGATTTTATCCTGCACCCTTCCCCAGCCCAGGGCCTCCTCTGTGAGGGGTGGTGCCAGCCGGGTGAACTGCTGCACGGTGCTGATGGCCTCCTTCCCACAGCCGTGAGGATCCGAGGGCACTATGTCGTGGCTGGGACGGCTAGCATGTCCCCCAGCACCACCTACCCATCCCTCCTGGAGGACAGCCGTGTGGAGTACAGAGTGACCCTCACTGAGGACCGGCTGCCTCGCCTTGAGGAGATCCACATCTGGGGACCTGTCCAGGAAGACATGGAGATCCAGGTCCCCAGGCGGGCGGGTGGCTGCGGTGGAGGTCCAGGCCCCTAGGTAGGTGGGGTGGCCAGCGGTGGAGGTCCAGGCTCTTGAGTGTCAGGCCGCTGGGCAGCCATAAGGTCCCCGGGATCTTCACAGTGGTTGTGTGGACTTCAGCTCTCTCTCTGGAAGCACATGCTAGGTTGGCCTCTCCCCCAACCACCGTTCCTGGCTACTGCCAGCCTCCCCCTCCCTGTGAACCTGGGGCCCCTGCTCCATGCTCCCGTCATGCCCTGCTCCAACCCATCCACAGCTCCTGGAGGCTCAGTCCTGTGTGCTGTGCTGTCTGACCCAGGAGCCTGGGGCTATGGTGTTCAGCGAGGGTGTCCCAGGGCAGATGGCTGTGACCCCAGGGAGCCGGCTGGGGCTGAGCTCTCCTCTGTGTGTCTGCAGGTTTACAGGCAATATGGGGAGGAGTATGGACCCCTCACCCGACCAGACATCATCTTCACCTACTTCCAGCCCAAGCAGCAGGGAGCCCGCGTGTGGGCTGCCGTGCGTGGGCCCTGCTCGGTGAGCTGTGGGGCAGGTGAGGCCCAGGGCAAGGCTCGGCTGCAGCCCCGCTTGGCGCCCCCCCCCCCAGCCCCAAGGCGGCTAAGCCCTTGCCCTGCTCTCCAGGGCAGCTCTGGGTAAACTACAGATGCCTGGACCAAGCCCAGAATGAGTGGGTGGACACTGCCCAGTGCCAGGGAAGCCCACAGCCGCCGGTGTGGACAGAGCCCTGTGTTTTCCCACCCTGCCCCCCATAGTAAGTGCTGAGCTGGGCAGCTGGGCAGGCCAGGTTGCATCTGTGCCCGCGCTCTATTGGTGTGTGGGAGACTCCAGCACTGGCCTCATTCTGAGGCTGGGGACATACAGGGTAGCAGTGACAGCTGGGTTTGACCCCTTGACACCTTGTCTAGGCCGCCTGAGGCCTCTGGAGCTCAGGTGTCACTGCGGCGATGGTGGGTGGCCCCGTGGGATGGAGGTAAGGCGTCTCGGGGCCTGGTGGGAAGCCCGGGCCGCTGCTGCACCGGGCAGGTGCAGGTGGTCACAGCACAGTGTTAGAGACAAGGGCACCTTGCCAGGCACAGGACTGGGTGGCTGACTGCTGGCAAGATTGGCCCCTGTCTCCAGGCTCTGGCGTGTGGAAGGGCAAGTTCTTCAAGGTTGGCCCTGAGAGGTCTGGACAGATTTGCCTGCCTCCCACTCTGTCTCCCGGAGCCAGCCTCGAGACCTGACCCGGGCCTGACGCTCTCCTCTCCTCTCCTCTCCTCCTCAGCTGGGCAGCAGGAGACTTTGGTCCCTGTAGCGCTTCCTGTGGGGGAGGCCTGCGGGAGCGGCTGCTGCGCTGTGTGGAGGCTCAGGGTGGCCTCCTGAGGACGCTGCCTCCCACCCAGTGCCGAGCAGTGGCCCACAAGCCAGTGCCCGAGGTGGAAGCCTGCAACCACTGGCCCTGCCCAGCCAGGCGAGTGTGGGTGGGCTTCTCGGCAGGTCCTGCCCTGTGCCAAGGCCTCTGGCTAGCCCCCCCCCGAGGACCCGGAGCTTACAGGTGCCAGCTTCAGACCCTGGCTCCTGCTGTCTGAATCCTCATCCTCTGCTCTGAAGAGGGGTGAGAGGCTGTGCGCAGAACAGCTATGACCACGGGTGACACTAACTGTAAAGCAGGTGCTTTATCCCCTGTGTCTTATCCCCTTCAGATCTAAATTTATTTACTTTTTTTAGTTCAGTGCTTTCCAAATTCTAGGCTGATGCTGTGCCACTTGAGCCACAGCATGGGTTTTTTGGGGTTTTGGGGTTTTTTTTTGTTTTGCTTTTTTTGTCCAGGGTAGCCTCAAGCTGTAATCATACCTCTTACTTACCCAAGTAGCTTGGATCGCTGTATGAGCTGCTAAGCCTGGTTTTATTTTTGTTTTTTGT